GCAGATGTGTGATTGGGATGGGGGAGGCAAAGCCACTTGCCAGCCCGCGGGTGGCAGGCGGGTTAGGAACCTGGGCTGGTCAACCGCAAGCCCCAGAGCCTGGCCACAGACGCCACTTGCAGGGGGCCGTGTCTATCCCGGCCCTCTGCTGTCCTCAGAGAAAGCCTGTCCAGACCCTGGAGGACTCCCGTCCTGCTGGCTGCAGCCCGTTGGGCCTAAGGGCGTGCAGCCCCGCTCTACCCATGCTCAGGACAGGAGGGCGGTCCCCTGCCCGCCCACACGCCAGCCCCCAGAGCCCTGACCACAGCCCGCGCCTGGCAGCTGCTTTTCGAGAAGCAGGGAGAACAAAGGCAGACTGAGATTGGGCGAGAGGCCGAGTGTGCACCCGGCACGGCCAGGGGCCACCGCCAGGGCCAGGGCGGGGCAGGGCTCTGGCTCTGTGTCCACGGCTGATGGGTCCCCAGGATGACCCACAGGATCTACTGGTTCCTGTCCTCAAATGGGGACGAGGGTGTCGACGCCAACCCCGCAGCCTGCTGACAGAGCGCAATGCCGCCTGGAAAACCAGGCCCTGTATCCACCACAAAGGTCACCCCTTTGTGGTGACCCCCCGACGGCCACCTTCCCCCGGCCCACCACTCGTCTGGCGGCCGGATCGAGCTGGGGCGGTGCCAAGGCAGCTAGCGCCAGGAGCCCGTGAGGCCCGACTGGGCAAGCAAGAGCCTCAGCATGGCGGCGTGATGCTTGGCGTTCCTCGGTGGGACGCGAGGGTGCCAGGGCCCCAGGAGAGCCGGGCCAGTCCTGGACTCGGTTTTCTCCTGTGCGGAACGGCAGGATGTTCTCCAGGCACGCGCGGCTCCGACCCCGGTTGGCTGACCCGGCATGGCCTGCACTGCCCCCTCCGGGGTCCCACTCTGGGCCCCTGCTGTGCAGGTAGCCCCTTGCTCCCCTGCCCCCACGTCCACAGCCTGGGGCCCTGTGAGCGCAGGAGCAGGGCCGTGGGTGTCCCCAAGAGGCTCCTCTTCTCAGGCCACTCACATGTGTACATGCAGGAGGCAGAGACAGGCAGGGGGACAGGCAGTGCCCCTCGCCCATGCCGTCCCCACGGGGCTGGGTGCAGAGCAGACACCTGCCTCCCTGCTGCTGGGCCCAGGCGGCAGCTCGAGCTGGACCTGGAGCAAGGACGGGGACCGGGCAGGGATGTGGGGGAGGCAGTTGCACACTGAGGACGCAACCCAGGGCCCGAGAGGACCTGGGACAGGCACGGATGGGAAGACAGAGGCCCCTGAGAGGCCAGCTAGCCATGGCTACCCCCGCCTGGCGATGGCCAGGACAGCTCAGGCGTGGGGAGGCCCCTGCCCCACCAGTGTCTGTCAGGACCGCGTGTGTTGGGGCCACTGGCTGGGTATGGCAGGGGGCTGGGGCTTGGGGGAGATGCAGAGGGATCACCACAGTGCTGTGTGTCCGGCTGGGCCCTCCCCTCCCGGGGTCAGCCTCAATGCGAGGCTCTGACGCGAGGCCTCAGTGGCACATCTGCAAAATGCGAAGCGGGGCGCCTGCCCCACCTGCCCGAGCGTGGCTCCTGCCTGGCCTCCCGTCCGTTCAGCGCTTCACCGGAGGGCCCTGATCGGCCCGGCCCCTGCAGTGCCGGCCACACGCCTGCCCAGGGAGGCCTCGGCCTTCGCCATGAGGCTGGCCCGGGGTACAGCCGGCGGCAGGGCGGCCCTCTGGCCTATGTCCCACCCCTCCTGTACCACCTGGGACCGGGGTGCTCAGACTGGGTCCAGCTCACCGGAAGGGGCTGGAGGAAAGAACAGTGGCAGACGTGAGCGGGGCCCTGCCGAGGCACCCCGGACCCTGCAGAGGCCTTGATCCTTGCCAGGCCTAGGGCATGCCCACGCTCTCCTTCTAAGTGCACACACCGTCCCTGTCCCACGGGAGCGAGCCGAGGGACAGAGGCCCAGGAGAGTCCGCCTGGCCCTTCTCCCGGACCCTCCCCTCCCTCAGCTTCCTGCGGCAGAGTGCAGCTGGGAAAAGCTGCGGGCGGAAGCGGGAAGCGGCCCTGGCCCTTGCCTTCGGCCATTCTGTCCTCGGAGCAGGCTAGGACAGGGGCCTCGGCTTTGGTCTTCCACCCCACTGCGCCCCCCAACCTGCCCCCCTGCTGTGAGGAACTGTGGCTGCAGGGCCCAGGACGCCAGCCCTCGGCCAGTGTCTGTCTGCATGGGCTGCTCCGGAGCCACACGGGCAGGTGCCCGGGGTGGGCCTGGGCCGCCCGCCCCACTCAGAGGCCCAGGAAGGGCCACTTGGCCAGGACGGAGCCTCCCGTTCCCAGGGCGGCGGTGCCAGGGCCCTGGAGTGAGCACTGTGGTGGGGACGGGGGTGGCAGGGACAGCCCTGGCCTCCAGCTCTCCAAGGGCTGGCTCGTCCGCACCCCGACCCCCAGTAAGTGCCCCGGGTCTCACTGGGGAGGGGAGGCACGGAGGCCAACACACACAGTAGGCGTTTTATAAGCGCCTCCCGTCAGAATGGACGTCACTGAGTCCGTAACCAACTGCTCTGTGCCTCAGTTTCCTCATCTGTGAAAAGGATGCCATTTGCAGGACCCACCCCACACCAGGACGGAGAGGTTGGAGGTCACGTGCCGGAAGGCGGCAGGCTGGCTCTCCCCCCGGCTCAGCCCTTGCTCACACACCCCTTCAGAGAGGACGCGCCGAGCTGTGCACCCTCCCACCACCTTATTTAGACAGGTGCTATGAGAGGACGGGCCACGAGCCCCGTGGGAGGATAGGCCCAGGCCGCTCTCCAGGCCTGGAGGTCGCCATGGAGGTCACCCCGTGCCCGGGTGCTGTGTGAGCACACCCCCACACCGGCTCAGCACTCAGGGGCAGACTGGGCAGGACCCTCCTTCCTAGGGTGGGGCTGGCAGGGCTGGGGGTCTCCCTAACAGGAGGCCACGTGGTGGGTCCCTGCTCCTATCTCCAGTGACGGGAGCTCACCCCCTTCCATGCACTCCCTCCTTCATAGCCGGTAGATATCAGTCTCCCTGTCCTCGACACTGGTGCCCCCTGAGCCTGGCCCTGCTGTGGCCCCTCGTGACAGCCCTGAAGAGACTGGATCCTGTGGCGTGGTCTCTACTTCCTAGCCCAGGTGCTGTGCCTTCCCCAATGCACTGTGTCCACTGGGCCCTGAAACACGCACCTATTAGACACCTGCTGTGTGCAAGGCCAAGCAGGGGAGGGGGCCAGGCAGCAATCAGGCCCCGTCCCTCAGGCGATGGGGAACTTGACCTCTGGCACTGCGAAGAGCCAGGGCTTAGCTGGCTTCAGAGGACAGCCACCGACCCTGGCCAGGATTGTGCCTGCACCCATGGGCCGCACCCTGTTATCATCCAGCGATCACTCGCCCTCCTACAGCCTGCACAAACCTGGTAACCTTTCCAACCTGGGGAGCAACTGCTCTTTGATGAAGTTGAACGGAGTCTATTTGAGGCAGGAGCTCCCAGGTCCCAGCCTGTGAGGTGAGCGCAATTAGCTCCGACAGCCGTCAGCACCTCCACAGAGCGCGGGGGCGCCGCGCCTGGAGGTTAACTCTCCGCTGTTCAGGAGGCCTCGCTGCGGAGGAGCAGAATGCTCGACAGGCAGCCCACTGGGGTGGGTCACGGGGGCAGCCCCTCAGTCCTTCTCCCCAGGGACGTCCCCTTTGCGGCCTGCTGGGCCCGCATCAGTCCAGATCTTCCAACTCTTGGGGGAGGGATGAGAAGGTGGGGCCCGGGCAGCAGTCAGCTCCTACGTGGTCCCAGGAGAGGTCTCCTGTGCCAACCCGGCTATTTAAACAGACAACTGCTGCTGACCTGGTGGGGGGTGGGCAGCATGAGGGCTCAGACCCCAGACCTGGGGCCCCCTGCCTGGCATGGGATCCTGAGGGGCTCGGAGCATTTGCTCTGGGTCCTTCCCCATTGCAGGGCAGCAGGGAGCAGGTCTATGTCCAAGCCACTGTCCCCAGCCCTCAGAGTGCAGATGTGGAAACTGAGGCCCAGAGAAGGCAAGTGTTCCGCCCAGGCCCCGCTGCTGGGGCACAGGGACTCATGGGAAGGGAACTTCCCAGCTCCGGCTCCCGTGTGGGTGTGCCTGACCTCTGGGTGGGTGCCTGGTTCCTGGCCTGGCAGGGCCACAGCCATCTCTGCCACTCTGACCCCTGGTGTCCAGCTGGGCAGGTGCGAATGCTGTGGTCACAACTGAGGCCCACACTGTGCAGCCTGGAGCCCCGGGTGGCAGAGCCTCAGAAGGCCCAGACAGACCACCTCCCCCACGCCTGTGCTCCCAGGGGTGGCTGGGGGCTGGTCAGAGACACAGCTGGTCACCCTGGCTCTCCTGAGGTTATGGTCACTCCTGAGGTCACTCCCCAGAAAGAGGTTCACAGCTGGGGCTGAAGGGGCACAGGGACGGCCTCCCACCCCACCCAGAAGGGACAGAGAGCTGTGACAAGGCCTCATTCTCCCAAGCCTGTGGGGGTTCCGGGGGGCCGTGTGCGCCCACCTGCGTGTGGGCAGCTAGAAACCACGCAGTCAGGGTGGGGCCGCAGACCGGCGCGCGCCTCCGGGTGCCACCCGGCGGCGGACCCGAAGTTGAAGTTTATTTTCCCAACTGTGGCTGATTCACGGTCAGGATGTGGCAGCCGCGGAGCGGGGAAGTCCCGCTTGCCAGGAGGAGGCTGGTCGACCCTCGGCCCTCCACCCTGCGGGCGGCGCGCGCGGGCGGCGTCCCTGCGCCAGGGCCGCAGTCCCGGGCGGGCCGCGCGGAGCCGGCGGGGCCAGGGGCCCCCTGGAGCCCCCGCCCAGGAACTGGGGCCCCGGCCGCCCTGCGCCACGGGACCGCTCGTCGCCACCCGGGGCGCACGCGCTGCTACCCGGAGCCCCACTTCCAGCCTCAAGCGCGTCCAACCTCTTCCCGAACTCAGTTTACCCCGGGGCTCCTGGTGGGGCCCGGAGGCCGCGGACTTACCGGGTGGGGCGGCGGCCGGAGGGCGGAGGGCGGCTGGTGCTCGGGCCGGCCCGGCCAGGGGCTGCGGACAGCCAGCGCCCACTGCGGCGCTCCGCGGGACTCGCACTGGGGCGCAGGGCGGGCGCGGGGCGGGGCGACACCGCCCCTTCCTCCCGCCGGCCCCGCCCGCCGGCAGCTACGTGGGGCGCGGGAGGGACCGGAGGGGGGGTCGCCAGGTAGGCCCCGCCCACTCTGGCCGGCGGCGGGGCCACTTTACGGGATCGCCCCACGCTGGTAAATGCGCGAGCCGCCCCTTCCAGGCCGGGGGCCGGGTTCCCGGTGGGCGGGGAAGAGGATGGGCCCCGGAGACCTGGCAGCCGGCCCGACCCCGCCCGCTGCCCCGCTTCCCTGCTCTCCACCACCCGCGGCGACCCACCCGGTGGGCCTACCCACTGGGCGGTGGGACGGGCTCATCTCCCCGTGCCCAGGAAAGCGCGGCCGGCCTGAGTTCCCATGCCTGGGCTTCCCTCCTCCGAGACAAGCGCGTCTGCGTCGCCTCCGCCGGCGGCCCTCCCCTGGCCCGCGCTGCGGGGGCCTCTTGGTGGGCTCTGGGCAGACCCGCTTTGCTGGTGGTCGAGGCGGCATCCCTGGGAGCTGCCCCTCCTCCCAGCAGCGCCGGCCGCGGTGTTGGGTGGGCGTTCTCTGCCAGCCCCTTCCTATCCTGCCTCCTGTCCTCCCACCACCCCACATGCACACGCACACGCGGCCCCACAGTAGGCTCTGGCCCGGCTGGATGACAGAACCAGATCGCCAGCTCCGGAAGTCCCTTCTGATGTCTAACCCTCGGTCAGAGCTCACAGCAGACTGCACCTGGGGGCCCAGGGGCCGTGGGTGGCTTGGCAGAGGGCAGAGGCAGGTGGCCTCTCTGAAGCCCCAGCCTGATGGAAGAGGCACCACGCCCGTCCTGAGGACCTCCTCTCACTGTGACCCCAGGCTGGGCCATGGCCTGGTTGAGCCTCAGTTTCCCCATCTGTGTAATAGAATGAGCACAGGTTGTATCCAGGCTCAGATGAGAACACGTGGAGAGAGTGTCTCCACGCATTTGTGTCTTGACAAATCTCTCCTGAGGGCCTGCTGTGCGTAGACCATGGGGACAGGGCTGGTGACAGAGGGTCACGGGCAGATGGAGGGGCTCCGGACGCAGACCCTACAGACCTGGGGCCAGGTGGCTCCCGGCCTCACAGCAGCTTCTGCCCGCAGGCCAACCACATGCCCTCTTGGGGCTCATGTGCGCCCCCCCCACCCCCTGTGGTAGGGATGTGCCCCACACTTGCTGGCTTGGTGATGTCCCCTCCCTGCGTGTACAGACCCTGCCGAGGCCCAGCAGTCTCAGCGGAAGTCTCCTTGGCTCAGTCCCGGAGCAGTAGTGCTTCTGGCAGCCGTGCTGAGTGCCGGGAGCCCAGGGGAGCCAGCCAAGGCGGGAGCTTACCGGCTCCTGGACACCCTCCAGCCTGGGAATGGTGGCCGCTCCTAGACGGGACTCAGCAATTCTTGGAATGCACCTGGAGGCAGGCCAGCCCTCCACAGGGCTCTGGCCCTCTCCGCACCCTCAGAGCAGGAGGCTTCCTCCGCAGTGCGGGTGCGGGCCTCCCCTCGCTCTCCTGGCCCCCAGCGGTTAGTGCCGGGGGTGGGGGTGGAGGGTGCAGCCGACTGACTCATCTTCGTCTGGGGCTGGCGCCTGGCTGCAGTGGCGCTGGTCAGTGGGTGTGTTTGTTGATCCAGTGGATGGAGGAACTAGGACATAGGCCGGTGAGGAGCGAGCTTCAGCCCTGGGCTGGGGGACGCTCCACTGGGCAAGCAGAGTTGGCCAGGGCCTCCCCAACCCCTGCCCACTGGCTCTTGTCCACCTGGGCCTGGGGCAGGGGCAGAGTCCTGAGCCTCACCCAGAGACTGGAGCAGGTGGCCCGGTACCCCCAGGGCTGGCTCTTGCTCGGGGCTTTCTCTCTTGTGCCGAGGTCCAGGACACTGTGCTGCACCCCAGGGCCAGGCAGGCCACCGAGGCAGGAGCATGGTGAGGAAGGCAGAGTGAATGGCGTCGATAGCGGAAGGCTGGCGAAGTCCTGGGGGTGGCGCGGAGGAGGGCTTCGGCCCGGATTAGGGATGACTCGTGTGTGCATGCGTGCGTGTGTGTGTGTGCTCGTGTGTGCATTGGGCAGTTGAGGTCAGAGGTCGGGCAGGGAGTATGGACGCGGATCTGAGAGAGGACTTTCCCTCAAGCTTGGATCCACCATGGCCAGGGCAGGGAGGTCTCAGCTTGGTGGGGTTGAACTCACTGTACCCACCGATTTCCGGAGATACACAAGGCCCACCACCCCCTCTGCTCCTCCAGGCACCCCCGGCTCTGCCCCAGCCCGAGATGGAGAGGAGGACACTGCCCAGCAGACTGGCCCCATCCGACTCAGGAGGTTCTTTCTAGAAGCCATGGCCTGCCTGGCAGCTCCCCTCCTGGGAGCTGGGGTACACCCACACCTGCCCATAGCTCTGAACAGCCAGGTGCCCAAGAACAAGACGTGCGGGTGCAGGCACGCGGGCACTGACACACCCAGGCGGAGGCACACGTGCCTGGCCACCGATGAGCAGAGAGCCGCACCCCCACGCAGACATGCTCGGGCCGTGGTGAGGGTGGCCCTGCCACCGCAGGCCTGGAGAGCTGGCCTCTGGTTGGGAGGCAGAGAACCGAGGTGGGGTGAGGGGGCGAGAGCAGGCCTGGGCACCGCCAGCTGGAGTTCTGCTGGTAACAGGCAGGCAGGCGTGGGCGGCTCCGAGAGAATCCTCCCCCCATGGGGTGTGGTGCCAAGCCAGGACAGCCCTGCGTGCAGCAGGTGGCCACTTGCAGGCAGGAAAGGCCACCTGGGCTCTCTCAGGGACCCCAGGCAGCAGCCCAGCCTTGGGTTTCATTTCCTTGCAGTCCTGCACCCAGGATGCTTCTTGTCTTTTTCCTTTTGAAACATTTTTTCTTTTGCAGCCTAGTGGGATGGCCTGAGACAACCTCTGACGCTGTTGCAGAATGAAGTAAAGGAAAACACGCCCACCCACCTCCCCTCTATCCACCTGCACCCACCCACCCAGCCACCCAGCCACCTACCCCTCTATCCACCTGCACCCATCCACCCACCCACCTACCCCTCTATCCACCTGCACCCACCCACCCACCTACC